GGGGGGGAAAAGGGAAAAGGGGGGGAAAAGAAATAAGGGGGGGGGGAAAGGGAAGGGGGGGACAAAGGGGGGGGGGGGGAAAAAGGGGGAAATAGGAAAAAAGGGGGGGAAATGGAAAAAAGGGGAAAAAGAAAAAAAGGAAAAAATAAAAAAGGGGAAAAGAAAAAAGGGGAAAAAGAAAAAAGAGGGGGAAATAAAGATGGGAAAAAAGGTGGAAAAAAAACAGAAACAAAGAAAGAAAAGGGAAATAAATAGAAAAAAAGGGAAAATAGGGAAAAAATGGGAAAAATAGGAAAAAAGGTGAAAAAAAAACAGAAAAAAAGAAAAAAGATAGGAAAAAAAGGGGAAAAATAGGGAAAAAAAGGGATGGTGTCCCAAAATTGTAAATAAAATAAAAAGAAACAAAAAGGGGAAATGCCAACGTTGCTTGGAAATAAAAATTGGGAGAGAAGAATTGGCCACGGGGAAGGGGAAAAATGGGAATTTTGGGGGGGAACTGGGGGATTAAATAGATTAAAAAAGCACTCATGATGCACGGGGGGCTGGGGAGGGGAGTGTAAGGCAACGATTCCATAGAAAAAAAGGGATTTTTCCAAAGGGGTCATAGATATTTATAGTATTTATAACTTTAAATATAAAGTAGGAATGTGCTCCTGCCCCTCCTCCCGGGGGGCTCTGCGGGGTTTGGGGGTACCCCCTAAATCTGGGGGGTCACAGGGGGGGTTTGGGGTGCCCCATAAATCTGGGGGGTCACAGGGGGGGCTTGGGGGCACCCCATGAGCCTGGGGGGTCACTGGGGTCTGTGTGTCACCCCCAAACCCGTGGGTCACAGGGGTGGCTATGGGTCACAGGTGGGTCTGTGTGTCACCCCCAAGCCAAGGGGGTCATTGGGGTCTGTGTGTTCTCCCCAGGCCCTTTCGGGGCCCTCAGTGCAGTGGAGCCGTGCCCGGGTCCCCCCGGTGCCCCACGGCCGCCCCGGGCTCACTGTGGGGCCGTGCCTGGGTCCCCCCGGTGCCCCACGGCCGCCCCGGGGACACCGTGGGGCCGTGCCCGGGTCCCCCCGGTGCCCCACGGCCGCCCCGGGCTCACTGTGGGGCCGTGCCCGGGTCCCCCCGGTGCCCCACGGCCACCCCGGGCTCACTGTGGGGCCGTGCCCGGGTCCCTCCGGTGCCCCACAGCCGCCCCGGGCTCACTGTGGGGCCGGGGCCGGGCCAGCGCGGGGCTCGGGAAGGGACCCGGCCTGGCCCCGGCTGTGGGGCCGGGCCCCGCCGGCCCTACAAGTTCTTGGTGACCAGGTGGGTTTTGTAGTGCTTGGTCAGGTGGTCGGAGCGCATGAAGCGTTTCTGGCACTGCGCGCACTCGAAGCGTTTGTCACCTGTGGGGACAGGGACGGGGGTCAGGGACAGCGGGGACAGCGGGGACACAGCCACTGACACCTGCGTTTGTCACGTGCGGGGACAGGGACGGGGGTTAGGGACAGCGGGGACAAGGGGAACACAGCCACTGACACCTGTGTTTGTCACCTGTGGTGACAGGGACGGGGGTCAGGGACAGCGGGGACCTGTGTTTGTCACCTGCGGGGACAGGGACAGGGGTCAGGGACAGCAGGGACCTGCGTTTGTCACCCTGGGGACAGGGACGGGGGTCAGGGACAGCAGGGACCTGCGTTTGTCACCCTGGGGACAGGGACAGCGGGGACACAGCCGCTGGCACTCACGTTTGTCACCCCAGGGACAGGGCTCAGGGACAGTGGGGACAGCAGGGACACAGCTGCTGGCACCCGCATTTGTCACCCTGGGAACAGGGGCAGGGCTCAGGGACAGTGGGGACAGCGGGGTGGGACCACAGTGCCAGTTTGGGGTTCTGCCATGGGAATTGGGGATATCCCGGGATATCCCAGCCCTGTTTCGGATCTCTGCCCTGGGAAATGGGGATATCCCAGCCCCGTGTGTGTCTCTGCCATTGGAATTGAGGATATCCCGGGACACCCCAGCCCCGTGTGTGTCTCTGCCCCACGCTTGGGGGTCCCCCGGGGGGTTCAGCCCCGTTTGGGGTCTCTGCCCTGTGAACAGGGATACCCGTGTGTGTCTCTGCCATGGGAACTGGGGATATCCTGGGATACCCCAGCCCCGTGTGTGTCTCTGCCCTGCGAACAGGGACACTCCACAGATATCCCAGCCCCGTTTGGGATCTCTGCCCTGGGAAATGGGGATACCCCAGCCCCGTGTGTGTCTCTGCCATGGGAACTGGGGATATCCCGGGACACCCCAGCCCCGTGTGTGTCTCTGCC